GATTCTATGATTCTATGATTGAATATGACAGAATGGAAAACAGAAAAAAAAACCCATTCTATTGCTTTGCGCTATTTGGTGCTTTTGATACTCTGTGTCTCCTAACTTCCACTATTCTATAGCTGTTCCTCCTTTTATACAGTGTGTTTTGTTTAGAGAGGATACAACTGGTGATAAAGACTATAAAGGTTTAAAAGAAAAAAAGAAAACATTTTACATTAAGAGCTTTAGAGGGAAATTATACAAGTGTATCCTCCAAGTCATCCACCAAAACTGCCTGGGAAATATTAGGTACCAACTGGACTTTAATAGTTGCTGGAAAAAGTTAAATTTTACTTATTGCTGTAAGAAACAAGCACCTTAATTTCTGATAGTGTGAAAATCTATCTCCTTTGTTCCCAAATTATAAACACAGGTAAAAGACTATTTTTAAAGAAGTATTCTAGGTATTTTACCTTAGGTTGGAAAATGAAGTTCTAGACTATCAATAATAAAGTTCTGCCAATACCAGAATTTTACTACAGAGACTTCTGGTGATGGATAATACAGCTATTGCAATTAGTGTGAGGCCTATTCCCCTCACCCACCTTTGCCTACTCTTTTTTCCTCTGTTGAGTCACTATGGCTATAGGAATGATTCACAACAACAAGTCAGTGTATTAAAACTAGAAATAGAGTGATCCCATCATGGCTCTTAAGGTACTGGGAAACTTCACTGTTTGTTTTTCCCTGGCATCAGTTTTCCTCCCTTGTCTGACAATAACCAATTAAATGTTTTGATATTTTTACTTGTTTTAGGATTAAACCAGGACAATAGTGCACTGAACAGATGTCTGAAATTGAAAGAAATGTCACAGTCAAAAAGGCATCACTTTCCCAAGTGGATACATGTCACCGTGATCTCTGACCTTCATATTGGTGTCCTTTTGTTACAGGCACTGCGCGTACTGAGCTGTGATTACAAGATGGAAAATGAAACTAGAATGGTGGTTTGTGATCTTGGGAACCCCATGGTGGCTGGCGCAAATGTAAGGGAAAACCAGATGCATTTACTGATTTTTATCTAATTGAATTTTGAAGGGGAGCAAATGGAAAACTATTCAATTAGCAGAATGTGTCCCAGTAAGCAGCACCTAAACAGAATCATTTACTTGGACAGGAAACTGTTGATGTAATAAGAGGCAGAACTGTGTTTATGAAAAACTGACAATTTCTTGTTCTAAGAGATTAATGATGCTGGGGTCTGTGTTTTATTTTACTTACTGTAAAGAAAATGAAAGCCACTCACTTTAATTCACAGAGATTGTACTGGTATAAAGAGAAGAGGATCCCAATCCATAATGTGATCTGTTTATTTCTCCCTTTTAGTATTCTTTCTGCTTAAGATTTGTATAGTAAATGACAGCTTCTTTAGCCTGATTCTCCTCTTGAATGCGTAAGTCTTATCAGTTTATATCATGTATTACATCCATGAAATGTGGTTGGAGTCAAGTTTTCCTTCAAGTTATTAATGTCATTCTAAACATTTTCCTAAGGCAGCTATCCATAAATCATACTACACATCAAATGGAACACAAAACTGGAACTGAATAATGGCTGACAATGGACAGCACGTAAGGATTAAACATAGGTTCAGAGGTTTAAAAAGTGCTATCCATTCCACAGTTGTCACCACTTGTTCCGGTATCATGACAAAACAGTTTCGTGTTGAACCCTGGAATGTTCAGCCATGGATGCCATTGCAGAATAATTCTAGAACTGCTCGTAAATTTATCAATGCTATGAATATTTAACTAAAAAAAAATAATCCAAACTTTTATACCAAGAGAAAAAGCTTTCCTAATAAAAATAAAGCAGTCATCAGTATAAAATATATGAGGAATAAACCACAGCTTTTCATTTAAAACTGCTGACGTTTGCATTTCATATTGGGTCTGGGGCTTTGCAAAGAAGCCAAAGCAAATCTTCTTAATATTTTCAAAATCCCTACTAAGTTAAGATTTCTCATATTGAAGATAAATACTTCCCTCTTCAGATCCTATAGAGAGATGTTTTACTGGCCTCTTATGATCTAGAAACATTTTCTGTCTGACCCTCAGTAGAAGAACCAAATGGGCCATTAGATAGGAGACTGGGACTGGAATAAACTTGTTTAGAACATAGGCTTAGCTTCAGATCAGTCAGAGGGCATTTGAAAGTGAATGTGAGATCAGGTGTCTCATAGAGTCATCTGCCTTCATGGTCATGAGAAGTCCCAGACAGACTCTTTAGGATTACAAGGATCTGGAAGCCGTTGAAAAATTAGCTCCAGGTGATGGGCCTACTGGGAGCAGGAGCCTGCCTGGTGAGGATTCTTCTCTGTAGAATTTCTGTGAACTAAAAGTCTGAAGGGGGAACTGTAAACGTTATCTGTGAAGGACATTGCAGAAGGCAGACTGGATAGATATTGGCATCAATGAGTATAGAGAAGAGGGCTAAAAGGTTTTTTAGTTTTTGTTTTATTCTAGTAAATGAAACTCCTAAAAAGTAAGAATAATTGCAAACATTTCTGAGGAATAGAGTTTTCTTAATGGAATGATAGAGGCAGTGATGGGCTGAAGCACTAGATGAATCCCAAATTAAGGCAGATAATTTCTTATGCCAGAAAACCAGCAAATTTAGATACCTGATAGTGGATTCCTGGTTGGTCTCATGGCACAAGCAGATTCTTAAGATACAGAGTGGACAAGAATCTTGTTGATGATTTGGCTGCAGTGGGAGGAGAGAAGCACAAAAACATGTGGATTTCTAAGAGAAAAGGAAGACTGAACACAACACTCATTGTATATCAAGCTAGAAGCAAATCTTTGTGGCTTGAATATTGTCATAAACATAAGCAATGGAAAGGTCTGAGTGTCGAGGTATTAGACTACAGCCCCTCACACTCCTTCCCGTGAAATCGAAAGCCCTGTTTCCACATCATCCTTGACCCAAAATGCTAGCAATGTGAAGAAATCAGGAATGCTATTTAGTAGCCTCTAAAGCAGTACTACTCTCACCTGTCTCCTTATAAATTCTCACAGCATAACTAATCCTATTTTTCTTCAGGATCTGCTCTAGGGCTGCCATGAATATATTGTTACCAAATATTCCTAAGCAAAGTACTTCATAAAAAGAGATTTAGAAGTAGCAGAATAAAAAAGCAGGGTTCATAATCTGTTTTATAACAAAAAAAAAATCAACTCTTGAAAATTAAGGCATATGAAGATAGAGCATTACAAAGCCAGATGGCAAAAATGTTTGATTATAGCAAGTAAAAGCTTAAAGCCTAACTTATCTTTGAAGCCAGCTCTCCTGGAAGCTTAGTAAAGGTGAAAGGACTTGAGCTTTTTCAGTCCAAATGTATTTATGATGGCAAATGTACTTCCAACAGCACAATACTAGCCCTTTGTACAAATGGCATAAATCATGAAAGGCTGCTCTGATCCATTTCCAATTCTGCAAAACAATTCTGCTCTGGCAGGAGATCAGTTATTCTCAAAATACTCAGTCAGAAAGGGACTCTGGAAGTTGTGAGGGAATGGGAAGGGAGGGTTAGGTCAAAACCAAACATTCCTTAAACTCTTAACTATTGAGTCACTCTAATGACTTTTCGTTACCTGAAAATGAAATCCTAGAATCCTTGAACTCTTGAAGACCAATTCCTGTGTATGAGGGTTATGTCGGGATTTTGTGATACAACCCACAGGTTGGGATTTTGTGATACAGGCCAACTGCAGTGGGCTACAGAGTTTTCTGACACATCACATCTTCACAGTGCATTATTGTCATCAAAATTAGTATATCTCTGACTTCCAGAAAATATGTGACCTTAAAATCGTCTGTTAACCACAAAATTTACTTAACCTTTTCAATAATATCTTTGTGGTTTAAAAAAACATTAAAAAGAGATAAAAAGCAATGGGAAGGAAAATCACAGCACCATATGGCCCAGAATGCAAACTGAATGTCTGTGATACCATCTCACTGCAAAGTGCTGAAAGTACTTACTTATGACACTGAAATGGGTCGGACTGACAAGCTTCTTAATGCCTGGTCAGCAGCCTTAGAGAGATGTAAGTTTTATTATAAATTCTGTTAGAACAATTTGGAAGTTCATAGAAATGAATAGCTATGAGGTTAGAAGTCTAGGAATCTTGGACAATTTTGCCTATTTCTTGGTATGTACCAATCTGATTCTTCAAGAGCACAGAGGCTCTATCTTTCATGTGCACTGTAAGACACTGCAAAAAAAGCTGTCTCCCAACATATCCTAGGTCCTGTCAAACATAATAACAGATTAAAGATTATCAGTAATAGCCAAAATGTCATGTATTGCAAAGATACATGATGTTACTAACATGGCAAATCATGCAATTTTGATGAAAGTAATTTCACTTGGAAAATTTTTAATAAAATTAAACTATTCTGATATAATGAACGTCCTGTTAAATAAGGAGGTTGAGTGATTGCTAAGTTACAAGCTCAAGGAAATCCAACTCCTTTGGCCTCAGTGGATTTTTAGCAAGGACATGTGAGCATCTTTGCCCCATTATTCACAGCAGCGTCGAGGGCTATTTGGCATTAACAAAGTCATACTACCAAAGGCAGCTTATTAGACGCGTACGGCAGGAGTGTGTTCCAGTATTAAGGGATTAAGCCTCAGGGGTATAATGGATCATCAAAACTGCAGTTCACGTCTGCTTTATCTGAGGAAAATTTTATCTTTGTTTCATCAAATCTTTTTTCTGCTGTACGTGGAAAGAAATTTATAGAGACTGATTAGTGAAAACAGTAAGAGAAATTCCTAGTTTGATATTTGGAAATTTTTGTCTTAGAGATTTAAAAAATCATGTTACATTTTTAAGGGTGAATGACACATCAGTACAGTTGTTAAAATCGTGTCTAAAAATGGACTTGAAAATAGTTTGTATCTCTATTCTAAGTCAACTATTCAGCTTCTGTTTAATTTAATGAGCATTATCTTTCCATCTTAAAGATTTTACTTCCAAAAAGAGAAATTAGCTTTAACTATGACATTAAAATGGTCAGAATTCAAAGACTTGAACTTCCCATTTCTTTTGTGATGACAATATTGCTGTCAGCATAGAACAACTGAAAGGGGTAATTGAAACATGTTGGGCAAGTCTCATTCTGGAGACGGATTAAGATTCAGTGGTGCACCACTGCAAGTGAGGAAAGAAGGAGAACTGAATAAAAATTTTTAAAAAATAATGCTTGGGAAAAAGGAATTGCTTAAACATCTGAAATGACACCTACAGAGGAAAGTGCCTCCTCCTCAGTGATGTTGAATCTAGGTTCCAAACATAAACTCTACACTGTTGTGTCCTGTTCTGTTGCTGACAATAAATACTGCCCCAAGTATGTTAAAGAACATATGCCAAGAGACAACTCTTTTTTTTCCTGTAGTCTAGTCAGATATTGGCAGAGGTGGAGGAATGATGTTCTCATTTCCTAATGCCTTCTGATGAATTTCTCAGGAATATTGTTTCTCCATGTGGAGAATATGACTGTATGTTACCATCCTATTAAAAAAAATATGAAACCACAGTGTGCAAGTTATCTTGCAGGAAATTCTACCATCAGCCAACAGGGGAGGTAGTGGGGAATGAGAAGTTGTACAAGATTACAGGGTGTAGACTTTGCTGTCAGTCTCAATGCAAAATTCACATTTCAAAAATTACCAGATTCAGAACACATGCAGTTGAAATGAAGCAATTGAAAACATTAAACGTTGCAGTAGAAGTTTATTAATGTAACATGGAGGGTAGATGGCATCTCTCCCTGCTCCCCTGACACTTACTTACTTGGGCTGTGAATATGCCCAACAAGAAGGGTACTCTGTGCCCTTCTTGCAAAGCAAATGGAAATACTCAGGGAAAGGAAGCAAGGTCTGCACAAACACAAGGGAGCGTTGGTGGAAGCCCTAATCTCCTTCAGTTTTGGGAATTGTATGTTTTACCCTGTGTCTTCTGTGGCCACACACTGCAAACTGAACTGCAAATATGACTTTGAAGTTGTATTCCTCTTAACTAAGACTTCCAGAAAAGCTGCAATGAAAAAAACTCAAACCAAATCCAACTAAAATATCAAGCTGCTGCTAATTTAGCCTCTAGAAGAAAAGCAGGTGATCAGCCAGCCCCACAACACCTAAAGCATGCAGCTCACATGTCAGTTACAGAGACAAAGGGAGGAGAAGGAAGCCATGGAGTGTGACAAAGGCACGCTTGGGTGGAGGCAGGGATGTGAGGTGCCAGACAGCTATTATTTTCTTTTGGCTTGGCACAGTAAAGCAAAGACTATCTGGATGAAGAAGGGCTCACCACAGTGTTCTTGGGGGTATGCTTCTCTGTTCCTCTTGATCTCTCCTCTGTCCAGCCCGCCAAGTTTCCATCTGGTGACATACATAGGCAGGATGGTATTTTTTCTTGAAAACAAGTAAATAGTGTTATTTCATACTAATTTTAAATAGTAACAGCATCCTATGCATATCTGTGAAATGCAGTGTTGAACAGTACTGCTTTATTGATCTTCGTAACCTGTTTTGTTTCTTTCACAGTTCTCTACAGGAATTCGATTTTCAGTTCAGCATTTTGAAAACGCAGATTTCAGCATCAATTTTGAGCTGCAAATAAGAAGGTTAGATGTTTTATCAAGAGTATGGTTCTTTAAATTCTGAATACCTATTGATATCTGGTTTAATGTATAAGAAGGTTGCTCCAAGTCTGCCAGTGTCGGTATTTATTTCATGGGCTTTTCCATGGCAGCATTCTTCAGGAGGATTTGTAGAATTGGAGCCTGGCTATCTTTTAGCAGAATCAGTCTTTGAGTTATTCTGAGGATTTTATTGTGCTATAATTCATGGTACCTTATTTTGGTTCAAGGATCTTCTACAGATTGGCCAATTTTTCACTTCATTCTCCACTTCAGGATTAATGAGCAGTGATCACTTCGTAACAAAGTTCTGTATTTAAAAACATATCATGCTCTGATAAGGGAAAAAAAAAAAAGACATGCTACTTCTTCATGACAAATTAGAAAATAGAGGGAGAGCAATTAAAATCTGCTCAACAGATTTACTGGCATGAAGAGGGAAAACTGTTTCAGTTTGATGAAGGTGAACCTTTGTCATTTTTCCATTAGTTTCCTCCACATTTGTGAGGCTGAAATATTACTGTGGAGAATCTTTTGGTTTATGCTTTTGTCCTCCACAGGGACAAAAAAGCACGGGACAGGCTGGGTTACAACAGGAAGAACAAACCTGGGACTTTTTCAGTAGATGGCAGGGCTTCTGCTCCATCTGTGCTCATCAAATACACACTGGAGTTTATGATGGGGCCCTCCCTGCCCCACACACAGACTTAATTGCTAATGTCTGGCATTTAATGAGGGCCTTGATCCTGTTCACTGTGGTAAAAAACTGAGACATTTTAAAAGTTTAAGTCATGTTTCCAGGATGTAACTCTTGAAGGAAGGGACATGCAGAAACTCGGGAAGGGCACAGCCACACCACAGAAGACACAGAGGTGCCTGGTCAGGCCTCAGCCCTCTCCCAGGGGTCTGGCTGGTGAGCTGGAGACCATGAAAAACCTGGGCATGGTCTCCTCCAGAGAGAGATACAAGATAAAACATGTAGCTTGTATGTCCCTGTCCATACCACAGTTCACCCTTAGGTCATTAGTGCAAGCAATACAGTTTTAAATGGATATTAGAGGCTCTTGTCACTACCCTTTTCATGCTGTGAAACTGGGGAGGTTCAGAGCTTTTTGGGTAGACAGAACTCTCTAGGTAATAAGAGTTGAGAGTAGGTCACTTCTTTAGAGAAAGTGACAAGGTTTTATTGAGTGGTAAGTCTGAACTTCAGGACATGGCAACATTTCGTGCTTCCTTCCTGAGTGTGACCCACTAAAATGTAAAAGGAGGAAGTCTGTTGAGCTACCAAAAATGAGAGTTTCCTCAGACTGGTATCAAAACACTGAAGAGTAACCAGCTACTTAAAAAAAACCCAAGTAGTAAATCTTCTTGCGTAGAGAATGTTCCCTGCAGTTAAAACTCACTGCTTTGTACCTTCTCAAGCAGCGTTACAGTTTGTACATTTCTATGTCCTTAGTGAACAGGTAAAACAATCATAAAAGAAAAAGGAAACAGAAACCCATAAGGCAGAAAGAGGAAATTACCTAAAGGGAAGGAAAGGGAAGCAGAGAACATGTCTGAATTTGGTGCAAGTTATTTAAAAGAGAGAGACTTTTAATTTACTCCAAAACATCAAGTGGAAAATAACTATTTTGATTTGCAAGGGCTGAAGTGCATTACATATAGGGAATAAGCAAGAGGCTGTGTAGTGTCTTGAAATCTGATTTCTTTTCTGATGGGGATTTTGCCAGGCGCTTTACATACCCATTAGAGAAGGAGATACCCTGGCACTTTTATTTAAACTATTTTCTTCCCTACAAAACCATAAAGCACAAACAAGACTTGAATACCAATATAGATTATCAAAATCTGTGTTTTAACTCTGTGGAAAGTAGTGCCATTATGCAAATTGGAGAGCAGCTTATTGTAACAAATTAGTAGTGTAGTCATTTTTGTACTTGAAGCAATTTTTGTACATTTGTACTCAAAGCAATGGCTATAGAGTATTACATCAAAAGTTCAAATGACGTTTGAGGGGAGTCTGCATTAGTTTACAAACAAATTAGAGCTGCTCCTAATTTTAGCAATCTGTAACCAGAAAGCCTGGATCAAAGCAGTATTGCCCTTTACTCCTCAGGAGTCAGTCGCTGGGAATGCTGGCCTCCTCTGAATGTTTCCATTCGACTGATGATACCCAGATGTGATAACAGTAAACTGTGACAGCAATAGAAACTTAGTTTCCATAAAGCAAGGAAGTACTTCCACACTCGCTTGAAAAAAACCTCCAAACTTAGTATCATTAAGCCCATAATTAAATAAATTCTAAGTCTGTAATTATTTATCTTCACTATCTTCATTAATTTGAACCTGCAAAGCTTTCTTTACATGAATGGGCTATTATAGGAATGGCCTGTTGAAGTAAGTGAAACTACCGTTACTAATAGGGATTTGCAATAAGAAGAGACAATAAAATGAGCATGAGGCTTTAAACATAGGGATCTGCTTTCACTGCTAAGTGGGATTAGGAGTGTAAACACTCTGGATAAGGGGAGGGGAGAAAATAAGAAAGGTAAATAAACAGTTTATTTTGGTTCTTTTTCTTCAGAGACTGTCATGCAGAAGTCACAAGTTTGGAGTAATAAAAGCAAGTTTTATTATACCAAAGCCTATCTTGTTCATTAACACGGACTTCCTCCAATGCATGAATGTATTCTATTAAGACACTCATATCCATACAGATAGCCAAGTTGAACGAGGGAATTTACATGATATTCTGAGGAAATAAATTTGTATCATCATATTCACGCAGAGTATTCTTTAAAGAAAGCTTGAGTTGACTGTATTATTAAACATGTGGTGAGCTCAAATAATATCAGACCTAAATATCAGTGTTTTACAAGACTGGAGTGGCAATAGCAAGCCCACGCTGTAATGTGTCCAATGGTATCACTTCCTAATTGTGGGCCTTGTGGTATTCGGTGCTGTATCTGTAACAATCTGGAGTTCTGCTAAATAACCTTTTTTAACCCTTGTACGTATCTTTCCCAGTTCTAACAAGATTAATCCAACCAGCAATTTAGTTAACCTCCATATCAACATCAGTGCTGTGGCTCAAGTACAGATCAGAGGGTAAGTATTCAACCATTTTAATTCATAATGATACCTATTTTTTGTATTGAATCTTTCCACATATAATAATCCCATATAGTGAATCTCTTGACATAGAATTTCAAACTCCTTATCCACCAAGAACACCTGAGAATTGCCAGGGACTCTTACCCCTACAAGCCTTGCAGGATGGAGCTACAAAGTACTTAGCAGGCTATGTAGGGCAGGGCTGTCCACATGGACTCCAGTGAACTTAGTGAGTGTCTGTGCAAATGCAGCACACTGTAGAATCCCGCAGTGTGGTAACACCTCTCAGAGGCAACAGCTTATGTGAGCATTCAAATTGTGTATGGATGTTACTAGTACAAAATGCCTGTTGGTATGTGTAGGTCTGCTTGTGCAACCACGTAGGCACTTAGTTCTGAGTACCAAAGCAGAATCTACTGCTTTTATGACTGGAATGGTGAAACACATTATGGCAAGGCATAGACTAATAAGGAGCAGAGTGAGGCTTTAGAAGAAAGGATGAATAAGGAATGAGCTATAACAAGAGGCCAACCAGCTACTACTGCAGGATTCTTACATTTCCATCTGGAGCAGGTGTCTTTCCACTGACACATGGGATACCAAAACGAAACAAGCATTGGATATGATCAAAGAGGATTATTCCTATCTCTGTTTTCTCATGCAGCTTGGTTTCGGAAACTATAAAACGCAATTAGGTGATAAGAATCTCAGACTATGTAAAATCCTGGAACTAGACTCCTATCCTGGCATCCTGGAGGAGGTCAGCAGGATGCTCTTTTAAAGCAAATGATTGCCCAAAATGCTTTATGTCTGGTATCTCAGATTTCCTACATCTCCTCAAACTGCAGCTCTGGACTAACCATTCTCAGCTCAGCAAGGGGAGAACAGGAGGTACATGGCTCAGCTTCACTCCCAGTCAGACCAGGAGGGCAGGCTGATACAAGAGGGGCAGATGTCTCTTATATGATGCACCTCAAGGGGCTGCTTTAGGTGTAAACAAATGAAAATGCATTTATTTATGCTTTTACGGATTTATAAAACTCCATTTACTGTTATCACTTCTAAGACATTACTTCGACTTCCTAGTGCCAGCAGAGAGTCCAACCATTCTGCAGATCACAGAGCTCATGTTTTCTGCTCTAATATTCCGTCTAAATCAGGGAGATTTAAAAAATATTTTTCATGACATTTTATAAGTGCTTTCCAGATTAAGAGGACTAACCCTAAGGTTCAAGTTAGATGGAAAAAAGAGGATTGGCACTCAAAGACTCTGTGGATATACGTTAACACTTTCTGAAAAGGAGCAGTTGAAAGACAACATGTTTACCAAGAACAAATTTTGACTATTATTTAATTTTCTGTAGTTAGTGGTAACCTAGGGAAATGAGCTGGAGAGGAAGTGGTGAAAAATACAAAATGCGGGGGAAGGTAACACAGAAAGAGAAGTAGCGGCTGAGGAAATAAGAATCAAAGGGGTCAGTTGGTCGGCTGCAGATGTGTGAGAAAATGCTGGGAGACAGCAACTACATGATGTTGCCATGGGTGGACACCAGGGTTAAGGACTGGCTGGAGTTTCAGTGCATCAGTAAGATGGTTATGGATACATACATGAGACTTCGCAGTGAGCGCTGCTTCCAGTGCTGTGGATGCTGTTTTCTTCAGTGAGGTTGCTCATCACTTTCATAGAAAATTCTTACAAACTTTTTGTACTGTTTGCAATTTTTTTTGAAATTTTTTTGCTTCCATCCTGTTATTTCTGTGCCATAGTGTGTTCTCTTTAATGAAAAGCTCTGTAATAAGTAAATAGATAGACATCAAAAAATGGCCAGAACTTCCTCGTTTCTTAAAATGAATGTGCCCACAAGTGGAAAAAGTGGCTTGAATTGTTGCCTGCAGTGCTAAGCAACAAGGCATTAAATACAGAGAATTACTCAATTGAATGACTTCCAGGTCCTTTCCTCTTAAGTCTTTCAGTTTTCTTATTAGCTATAGCATGCATATACAAAGGAAAATTCCTAAATGCTTTGTTGACAGATTTTGCTAATTACTCAGAGATGCTAAAGCATACAGCTCCGAGGGAAATATTGGCTCCCAATTTCCTAGATAAAAATAAAAGAGAGACTGTGTCCACATTTGGACTGGAAAATGTTTTGCATTTGTTTCCCTACTGCTCTGCACAGAGTTGCATGAAGTGGGACTGGAATCACTCTACATTGAGGAAACATAAGTAGTTATCAAATTGTGCATATGCATAATGCATATATATACTTGCACAGTGGACCCATACAAATACTGCCTCTGTGCGAAAGGAAGAAACCTTCTTCAATATCCTATTCACAAGCAATTTAAGATAACTCCTTGGGTAGTTCATTCAATGCTCTGATAACTGAGATTAGATTATTCTGCTTACTTTTTTTATGTCTATAAAAATGTAAGAGTTTTATAGATTTAATTGTTATTTGCCACTGCTGGAAGAGCACTAGAGGAACAAGAGATTCAGGAAGGAAGTAATTTGGACTGTGAAGATTTGCAGCTGGCAGAATTCTTATCATATATCCACATAAGTGTTTTCTGTAGAACATAATTCCTTTATTTTATTTTTCAGTGCTTTTGTTTGACTGATCATTGTCATCTTGAAGTCTAGGAAAAATCCTTGTTTAATAAATCATTCAAATATTAAAAATATTCTAAATTAAATGCAAAATAAAGTAATCAAAAGGGAAGATTTCTGTTTAATTTGTCCTGATTTTGCTACTTTCATATCAATAGCAGAAATCCTCAAAAGACCTGTAAAATCTGTTAAATGTTCTTATATACTTTATAATAATTTTAATGGAATGGCTACATTTACACTTTGCATTTCGTAATTCTGTGGAGAAGAAAAACTGCACAGGGAATGTGATAGAAAACACTGGTTTTTGAAACTTCATGCTTGCTTCATTTTGTTTATGTACACTTTCTGGTTTACACTTTTTTGCAGTAGCTTAAGGGTCTCTGTGTCTTGGCTTTTATAACAACACAGGGAAGTTCCTGTTCTCCAACAACAATTTAATTATTAAAATTCATACTGGAAGCAAGGCCATTTGTGAAATATAACAAGTTAGGCAAAGTACCTCATCTGAAATCACTTTTTAATGAATTTATTTCATTTCCTTTATTATTTGGTTTGACAAATTTTACATAGGACGTATTGTCCTCTGGCATACTTGGTAGTACAAACTGCCAGCCTTTTGAAGTCTGGGGAAGTATTTACCCTCAGCAGGATACTCCAGGATACCCTAAACTTGATGAAGAATTGCACTTTGCCTGGTTGGTATTAAGTGGTTCTTCTCCGGGATCCCTTGCTGCTTTGAGAAGCTGTCTTCTGTAGAGAAGTTTCTATCAGGCATTTCATTCATCGCATATGACATAAGAGCTGGAAGCAGCAACAGCTTGTTTCTTCCTAAAGTATTTTAAAATCTCAGCATTTGCAACAAAAACATCCTGTCTTCTGTTGCCTTCTTCAAGGGGAAATTTGCAGTGGTGCTTTCTGTTTAGACTCAAGGGAAAGTGAATTAACATCGGTGGACAGAAATAGAATTTTATATTCTGATAAACCCTTATTAGCAATTCTTTTTTGACAGTTTCCTGTTAGCAAGATTCCAGCTTTGGCAGAACAAGCTTTGCAACTTTGTGGCTGTTCCTTAAGCTAAGGATTCTGGAAACCGGCAAAACTGAGTGAGAGGACCCTTGTAAAGAAAGGGTAATACCCAGAGCTACTTCCAGTACCAGCAGATGACAAATGTCTGTGCCAGAACTCACCTGCCATACTCAAAGGAGTTCTTGGGACCTGATTTCCCAACTTCTCAACAGCTGAATAAGGTTAAAGTTGGCATCCGAATGGGCCCTTTACAAGAAACATCCTGTTTTTATGGGAAATAAAATGCTTAGGATTTGAATAGAAACATTAATGGAAGACTGCTTGGTCCTTTCTTGAGGTCAAACGGAGAAGGAAAGGCAAAATAAAATAACAGTTGGAAAGAAAGATGTCAAGTACTAAGTCATTGTTGTCTTCACTTATATTTGATTTACATGTTGCAACAGTGTTTAAGGGAATGCCTTAGCTGCCACTTTGTTTGCAAAGCAATTGGGAAGCCTGGAGCAATATTTCAGGCTGTGGTCCTGAATTCAGCCTCGTGATACACCCATCTCTACTGTAACTTTATGGAAGCCTTTTGCCCTATCTTTACCTCAGTTTCCCACCTGTAAAATGAGATAGACTACTTTGCATGTTTTTTTTAAAGGAATAGTAACAGAGGTTATAAGGAATTTGCAGTCAGAGCAGTTAAATGAATATCTAAAAGTGTGTTGCAGGGAAGGAAGATGCATAGTATTAAAAATCTACAGGCTTTAAATGGAAATGAGAAAATACATTTATTTACATATCATTACTTAGTGGCTAATGTATTCAGCTACCTCATCAGTAAGAATGATGTAAATGTCTGAGAGGCTGCATTCCTCTGCAAATTGAGGAGTCACTCCCTTCTCTGGAAAGGACCGTCCATCAAAGGGAGCATGAAACTAATTGCACACCCTCGGTCATGTACCTTTGTTCACATCACCTAACTATAATGAATGTGACCAAATCAAATGCCCTTAAGGGATCAGGTTTTTATAGTGGTCTGCATCTTTTTTCTAGAAGGAACGTGGCTGATCACTGGTAACTGTTACTGGTTTAACATTTTTTATATGTTACAGAGTGTCTCACCCCCCAACAATTATTTTGCCGCTTCACAACTGGGAACCCAAAGATGAACCTACAAAAGAAGAAGAACTTGGTCCTTTAGTAGAACATATCTATGAGGTAAAAATGATGTATGTTGCCACAGGACCTCATGCTGCTACCTTTGAAATCCTGATGAATGAGGTTTATTGTCTTTATCTGCATCGAGATAAAGCCACAAATGTAAATATTCTGACTTTAGCACATGATTGAAATTTAATCTGGGAATTCACAACCTCAGTATCTGTTAGTTGAGGAGATATTAGTTTTTGCTAGAAGTCTGTCTTTGACATTTAAGGGATCTATAAACATTTGGGGCATTTGACAAGAACTTTCAAAAGTGCTTATTACAATCAATGCCAAATATTTTCAGATGTTTGATTGGTTTCTCATTACAAGCTGTGGGTATTGCACACAGGAAAAATTATATTTCCTTTAACATCTAGCTATCTATAAAAAAACCAAACCCTGTAGACATACAGGTAACTTGTTACCTCATTGCTTAGAAAATGTTCTGTTGAAAGTAACTCTTAATTTTTGAAGTATACATATTTCTACCTTGTATTGTTGGCTTTTTTTTCTGTTGATAATTCATCAATTAAAAAAGAAGGGTTCAGGTTAGAAAAAAGAGCACTGAGTAAACTACATGGGATACAGGCCATCTTTGGAGTCTGAGGGATGACTTTTATTCTAGGGGGTAAACCAGAGTGCTTCACATGTGGTTATAATTCACAAACTAGCACTCAAGAAAATATAAGCAACTGAGCTTAATCAGCAGTGTAAGATTACAGTTTGCATCCCTAATACTAAACTGTAATGAATCAGAAAAATCTCTAACAAATCTTCCTGTCTCAAGCATTTGGGCTGTTTGGGGAACTATGTGTGTGACTTCAAATGTATTAAAATATTTACAGTGATTAAATAGTTAGAGTGATTAAAGAAACCACTTTCATGGTTTATTGATATCAGCAAAGTATAAAAAAGCCCAAACACCCACCCAAAAAACCTTTACCGAAGAAAATGTAATATTGAAAGTGGGTTTTATTTGCTTCTAAATAAAGCTCATTAGCCACAGAAATTCTACACGTTTGAAAAAAGGAAGACCTCGCACCTCATATCATTTTACTTTGAGTAAAGCTCCATGGTGTTCTGCTTCTTTAGCTCTCAGGCCCAGTGTTAACACATATCCAAACTTCCTGTGGTGATCAGATATTTTCAACTTGTAAACTGATATAAGGAAACTGTTTTAATACCCCAGTTGTTTTAATTTCTGTTGTTTCTACCTTTGCTCGTTTTCCCAGAAATTATTGATGTCCTGGGATGTTACTTTTGGAACACTAGTTATTTTTTTTTTCTTTTGGGGAAATTTGAACTAAGTGTTGAACATCATAGAGTTCTTAACCACAAAGAACTAGTTTAAGCTCTGTTATACCATCTATTCCTGCAGCCTGGAATGTGATTCTTTTGTGTCCTGAAGGTTCAGCTGCTATTTTCAGCTATGTTCTGTTGAGGTTCATTGTATATATTTGTCTAGTGTATTTTGCTAGTGTGATTTGGTTTGGGTTTTTTATCCTTTTTTAGATAATTTCAGCTCTTTCATATGTAGAAGAAAATGGCAAAAGTGATGGCTTTCTTGATTACAGACTCAGACAAAAGAAGGTTGTTCTCCCAGGTTTGCCACTGGCTTTGTGACTGACATGGAGAGGTCCTTTTCCCATGCTTGCCACAGATTCTCCATCATTCAAATTATAATAATAATCTATACGTCTTTCCCAAAGTTCTTCAAGGCTGTGGATACTAAGAATTTGAAAATGTGTAAGTGGTAGTTGCTGTGGGTTTTTGTGGTTATTTACTGCCTTGGAAAGTAATGATACTTGTTTGACAGCTGCACAATATAGGACCAAGTGCCATCAACAATACAGTTCTTCATGTCGGTTGGCCTGTGTCCAGTCGAGAAGAATTTCTTCTCTACATCCTTCATATTCAGACACACGGACCATTGGAATGTCAGACGAGCTCTCCTATTAATACAATGCAAATAAAGGTAAGTCAGTCCCTTTTATTTCCATCCCTGTCTGCATTTTGTTTGATTTTTTTCTGCTTACACTTCACAATGGGATGGAGCTTTTGGGAATTTTTTGCAATGACCCTGAGTTCATTTTCCTGGGTAAGAAACAAGCTTTAGATGGTCTACAGTGTTTGTAGTACGACAGTTGTGTTGCGTGGTATGTGTTTGGTTTTTGTACTCTTCTTATCAGAAGAAATTTGTATTTTGATTCAGTATGGCAGTATTAGACACAAGATAAATTTTTAAATGGAAATTTGCAGGGTTTTCCTTGCGGGTCATTTTTAACATGACTTAGAACAGATGACACAAAATTTTTCACTTCTTATGAGACCCTGAAAATTCTTGTGCCCTAAGGAGTACGTGAATTCAGACAGTCATCTGTACAGCAGTGCTTAGCAGAGGACCTCCATGAAGTCAACCTTTGTTATGTCAAAGGAGGCACACAGCTCTTCAGTTGAGTCTGATATAACCTAGCACTGGTTTGTTTATCTAAAGGTCTTCATCTGAACCTCTTAGGGGTGGAGAAAATCCTGTATAACATAACAATGCAGTATCATTAAACTGAAAGACACAAACTTCTTGGAGCTGTTCATTTAATTGACAGCTGACAGCCACCAAGTATTCTAACATTAAGTAATTTTAAAGGGTGTAACACAATTTTAGTTTTTTTTAATTCAATAGAAATAATTTACAGCTAATTTGTATGGTGATTTGGTTTGTTAGGATTATAGGCTAATTCAGGTTGAAGAGACGTTGACTCTGATCCAACATCCTGCTCAAGCTGAATCATCTGTGAGATCAGACTAGTTTGTTCAGGGCTTTATTAGGTCCAGTCTTTAAAACATACAGGGACAGAGGCTGTAAAAATCTCTCTGGGCAAATTCTGCTGCTTCTTGATTGTCCTTACGGGGAAAAGGTCTGAGCCTCTCTTGTTTCAACTTACGCCCATTGCCTGTCATCATCCCACCATGCACCTCTGTGAAAAGGCTGGCTCTATTTTTGTGATAACCTCCCTCCGACAGCTTTGGTCCCCCCAAAGCTTTGTTGTCTCTGCGCTGCACAAGCACTGCTCCCTCAGCCTCTCCTTGCAGGAGAAGCATCCCTAGGGGCCCTCCACTGAAATCCTTCTAGTACATTGATCTGTGTCTTCTACCGAGTCTCCAAAAAAGGATGTTATGTCTACATGGGGTCTAACGAGTGCTGAGCAGATGGGAGTAATCACTTCCTCAGTGTACTGCCCTTGCTCCTGTTGATACCTCCCCAGGGTGCTGTTGGTGCTCGCTGCTGACAGGGCACACTGCTGGCTCGTGCAGCTTAAGCCGTGTCTTTTTCTGCAGGGCTGCTTCTTAGCCAGTCAGTCTGCAGCATGTTTTGTTGCCAGGGGCTATTTCCTTGCACCAAGTGCATGATAAGATACATTTTTTTAATATCATATGCTATATTTTGTATTACAGTTAAGTTCAACAATGAAATGGTATAAGCTGTAAAACGTGTCATTTTAGAAGCCTGTATATTTTTTACCATCATATTTTTAGAAGCCTATATATTTTTACCATTATATTTTTTAAATATTTTAAAATATTTTTTGTATTTTTGTCTTCAAGTGTTAATGATTTTAATTTAATTTTTCAAAGGACATACTTTGAATATCCTATAAAGGGAAAGTATCAACTGAAATTCTGCATGAAATGCCCTCCAGAAATTGAAGTTTTCTTGTATTGCCACTCTACAATTATTTTATGGCTTAATCAATATTAACTCATAAAAGTTACAATTTTATCAGCAACTTTACAGGTTTTTGGTTTTTCTACTTGGAAATTATTGCGTAATTATTTTAATCATACCAACAAAAAGGAAAAAAATTACTTGCCATTTTTTTCAGAAGTGTTACTGTTAGGTATTGTTTGCCATCAAAATTGCTTCCCATTCCATGGACATGGTGGTTCTTTCATAGCAGAGCTGGAGACTTCAGGGTCTGGAGGAAACACTAACAACGGGAAGCCTAGGAGTAGCCTCCTCAGTAAAGTGTTGATACGCCGGTGTCTAAAAGCCTGGTTTAAGATCTATGTTTGTGATGGCAAATCCCCCCAAAACAGCTTGGCTTGGCTGAAAGTCAGAAGATTTAGCAAAACACAGCTCTACATATTATCCCATCAAAAATAAAGTATCCAATTTATTAAGCATAACTGATTCCAGACACTTCTGGAGTAAACAATGCTTCTCGAGTTTAACCAGTAGCCTGTTAAACATCTTGCGGGGAGAGCTGCGTTCCAAACGCAGCTATACGTCCTTCGCATACCAGGAGGGATTTGAGTTTCTGTGGATGAAAGTGGAGACATCATTCTAGTGAAGGGGATTGCTCATGACCACAGAGACAAGTCGTTAGCTTAAAGAGACAGAACTAACATATATACTTAGAAGAATATAGAAAAACTGCTGTATACCAAATACTTTATGGCTAGATTTTTGTGTTTCACCCAGGAATCCAGAGAGGAGTTCAGATTCCACCCTTTTATTTAGTTTCTCTAGAAGAAGAAAAAGGAAATGAGGGATAGGGAAGTGAAGATAAAGAATGTTTCCATTTTGTACCTAAAACACAGCAAGTTTGGAAACAGAGAATTTTTTCTGTTAGTCTTTTCCACCCCCCTGCCCATTGTTTTTCAGAGGTGGTGAGGAGCAAGAAGCTGAGCTGCTTCATTTCTATCTGCAAGCCTAGCATCCCAGAGCCACCGGTCAGCTAAGGTTGCACGTACGTGAAAAGGAGTTCAGCATCCCTCCTCCCTTCTCTTCTAAGTTTCAGTTCGGAAGCTGAGATGGGAGCATTATTGTCAGGGGGGCAGAGCTCCTGGGCAGAATTGTGCCACAGTTCTTAATGACATTTTCAGGCACCGTATTTGTGATGGCGTTATTTTATGTTTTTTTGAGTTTGCCCTTCCTTCTCCTACTTGATAATAATTACATCTGTTAAAGAAACAACTGAATTCTTGTGAGGCTTGTGTGAAATCTTCCTGTAATAATGAAATAATGGATCATCTGTCTTAGCAGAATATGGCTTTAGATGCATAATAACTTTTGCAAGAATTTAAACATCCTTTCCTTATTTACAGTTTTTCAAAGCACTGAACAGCATGAATACACAAATCAGGTTTCAAATATGTAAAGCTTATCTATTGCTCCTAATGGGAAGAGGATACAGAGACAGCTTCCTTCAGGTTTTGTATAAACAGCAGGAGGCCTGGGTCAAATTTCCAAGTAAGGCTAAGGACATTCTATGCCTAGCTCCTTTTGGATTTCAGAACCTAGCTCTCAGGGTGCTTTGGCATGCCTTCTTGAAATTATTTGAACTGTTCAGTTTCACCTAAAGCAGTATATTCCTCCCCATTGCTGTCTTGTAGAAAGGTTTCCTGTGTGCTTTGTTGTTTCTTCCGCAAAGATAAATCAAACTTGTGCGCTAACTCTTACTTAGAGTCTTTTCCTTTTCTGTAGCTTATCTTTCTCTGAAGGTGGTGAGGGACGTGAAAGGATAATAATGTTATGAACCTTGCAAAAGGGGTAAAGAGGAGCAAAAGGACTGATCACAGTTATGGACCAGATTCCCTTGCGGAAGAACTCGGTACACTAGGATGCTTCAGTCTAGAAAGGAGGTGACTGTGCACAAATATGATCCACAAATCAGAAGTGGCGGAAAGAGCGTGGGTGGGGATTGACTGCTCCCTGCCTATTCCGGCAGAGGAATGTGGTGTGTTCACTGCACAGGAATTGGAGCATCAAATGAAGCCTGTAAAGCCAGATTCAAAACAAGCAAAAGGAAGCGGTGGTTCGTGCGACAGGTATTAGATGTCTGGAACTTGTTGCCAAAGGAAGTAGCCAGGGTTAAAAGTTTACGTGGTTTTAAGAGGAAACTAGACAAATGCACAAAGAGCAGTCCAGTGAAGATTAATAAATGAACAAAACCTTCATGCAGATCAGGAACTCCCTGCTCAAAACATTTGGAAGCTGAAAGTTATTAGGAAAGAGCATTGTGTATGCATGCCCTGTTCTTACTCTTCCTTCCACATCTGCTTAAAGGCAGTGTTGACGAGAAGAGGGCTCAGCTAGATGGGCCTTTGGCCTGAGTTATCATTCCTGACCAGTTGGGTTTTTTTTTTCCCACAATGATGGCAAAAAGTAGTTTTATGGAGCCTGTGCATATAAGTACCAGAGGTATAGGCAGTGGTTTGGAACTATGGTAGACAGTACAGGGTGACACATTTGGCACATTCTCAGTAACTGAGCACTGTAGTACCATGAGTGTGGTGTCTCTCAGGGAAGCAGTGAAATAGCAGCTAAAACCCACCACACTTGTACAGTACATCCACAAATATGACTGGCAGGAGTTAACCTCTTCCAGAGGCAGTGTCTCCTCGTGCTGCAGAGACGTTATTACCGTGTGTAAGTCCTGGTCTGGAGTTATGCATTGCAGCAGAGGGTCTTACCTGGCTAGGAAAAGAGAAATGTTAAACTGGATTTTGAAATGAGAAGTGAAGAACTGGAGAGATCTGGAAATCTGCTGAAGGTGACAAGGCTTGGAAGACGGAAGCAGTACAGTTTTCCCTGATGGGGAAACTAAGACAGTCCACTGTATTTAAAGGGAGGGAACAAGAATCTGTATAATAAGGTATGATGTGCTAAATGTGTGGCATGCAAAACAGCTACAGAGACAGACTTGTACAATTCCATGCCACTTGCTCAAGAAGGATAAAATAATGTCTTTGACCTGAGCATCTAGGCCACTGGAGAAATTCTGCTTTTCCGTTGTTGCCAGAGACATGTATGTTTTCTCTTATCACACAGAGCTGTTTTCAAACCTTGACTGTAATAACTCACTACTGAAGATGCTAACACTCTAGGATCTATGGAAAGGAAGAGTAAATATAAAAATCATCCAATATTCAAATGAATCTACATATGTATCAGTTGTGATTATATATTGAGGGCTTCTTCAAAGGCATGTCATTATATTGTGGTTCTTTTAATTTGTCATCATTAAAGAAGCCTATATATGCTGGTGAAAGAATCCTGGAAGGAGAATTCCCACATGTTATCACATTGAGAGGGAGAGATTTACTAGCTATTTAACTGTTCCCTTATTGCAAAAAGACAATGTTAACATAATTAAGCAACAGGGAAAAAAAAATCTTATTTTTGCTTAAGGCGTTTTCATCAGTTAATAAATTATAGTATCTTTCACATTGCCGGATGCTTTTGACTGAAGAACTCAGACTGTCAAAATAGTTCCTTCTTTAGCCTCATAATATTAATCAGATGAATGGTACAAATTTTCGAGATCTAGTACTATGCAACACTAGTGTGGAAGGTTTTGTGTGTTTATAGCTATTCTCTTTCCTTTAATGCTAACATTCCTAACATTTTCTTTAGGAATTTATTTAAGATATTTTATATTTGGAGGTTAAAGGAATCGATGAGATGGATATGATTTTGCTCTTTATAATCTGAGGTCCTTAAAGAACAGTTTTGTCTATATTTAGGTGAGCTCCTGTTCAGATCTTATTACAAACTTCTGCATATATTTTACTGTGATTTTACGTAACTGGATTGTCATAAATTAGAATTTATCTTTTCCTCCCTAACAGTTAGGTTCCCAGACATTCTCTGAGGTTTCCTGAGAGAAGCCATAAATGTTCTGTGTAGAAATCAAAGACAATAATAAAAATAGGTTTTAATCAGGGAATAAAAATCTGTGAAGATAAAGCTGAAGAGAACACATTTCAATATGCGATTAATAATGAACAAATTGTTGCATTGTACAAAGTTGAGTTGCTACCAAAAGAAATCTGTAACAAATAGTGATCAAAAGTTGTGTTACTAGAATTCAGATTTTTTTTTTTTGGTCTTACTTTTTGAAGAGAGTAAAAGCATTATATTTCAGTAGGCAGATTCTGATCTGGACTAATGACCACATTTCAGTTCAGCAACTTTGAATTTATCCTGTAATAGAGATCAGAATCTGGCCACAGGACTCACAATTAAGTAACAGCAATGAAACAGACACCAGTAAAAAGTGGAAAAAAATGTTATCTACTGTAATTCCTATAACTGTGCAATAACTTGCTGTGCTGTTACTAATCATAGTCCTAGTTGAAGAGAGTGTGTTTTCATGGATGTGCTGTTAAATTGAAAAAACAGTGTTAATCCAAAATTCAAAACCTCTGAGAAGGGAGGAGATCTGTTAGAACCATTGTATGTCACCACCATTTCTCTCTTTGCAGTTTGCTGTTCCACAAGACACTCCTGAACTTGCTGCTTTTTTATATAATTCCACAATTTCTCATTATATCAGGAGAAGGGATGTCAAAGTGGCAGAACCTCACAGGAGAAACTCTGCAAAAATATTGGTGAGCTATCAAACCTATAAACTTGGACTATGCATGCAATGTATCAAGGTGGCTGTTGGTTTGACTGTGATTTATTTACAGACTTTTAAATATTGTTCTAAGTGATTTTTAGCCATTCAGTTTAAAAATAGCGTTTATTACGTATCCCCGTGCCTCAGGTTAGTGATATTGTTTGACGGATTTTTACGTTGAGGATCATGCCAAATTCCTGGCTGCGTTACACCTGGCTTTTTGCAGACAACCCCCTGTGGTCATGTGATGGCACACTTATCACAGGGAATTTCAGCACAGATTTAAAGAATGGGCCCCTCTTCCACAAATTAAATTTCAGATTCTGACTTTTGAAATACAAGTTTCTTGTTAACTTGACTCCTAGAATTCTGGCTCTTTTCACAAGAGTAGCTCACACTTAACATTTTCAGGTAAAGTAAGAGTTCTGACTTACAAGTAGTTTGGAGTGTATTTATTCCCCTCAGTAAGTATTTAGGCACATGAAAAGGTAAGATTCTTACCCTTTCCCCTACACAAGCAAGACAAATGGGACAGGTCACCGCATCTTTAACATTCCAGACAATGCTGGAGCAAGAGCAAGATCTCTCTCCTAGGAATATAGTTCTGATTAGTCAGTCTGGTACCCGACTGTTTGGACTTGGCTGTATTTTCTAAAGGTTGGTTTTTTTCCATTCCTGCATCCAGTGTCCCGTCCTTGGCGTACTGCAGCATTGTAGGTATCAGCTCCCCTTGCCTAGAGGCAGCGTTCAGACTCTGTGACCCTGAGGTCAGTCGCAGGATTCATGCAGTCAGTGCTTTCTGTTGATTCTTATGAACCTCCGGCAGAATTTCTTTCATCAGTCCAGTCTCTTATTAAGCTGTTAACTCCGAGCTCATGTTTGAATTCCTTGACATCACTAGAATTTGGTAGGAAGAAAAGACCCTCACAGACCTAAGTATTCTGGAGTAATAGAATAATTATGCTGCTTCTGAAAGTTAATTTGGCAATTTTTGTAAAGGAAGAAGATAGAATCTGAAAGTAATGAACACCATAATGTTACTAAGACCAAAATTACAGATTAACCCATTTTAAACAATAATGACTGTTGATTCCTATGTAATTCTTTCACCAACCTAATGCCTTGGGAATAATACAATTCCACTGAGGCTGAAGGAAGAATGGCTGGGCTTTCGAAGACATACCAGTCAATACCACAAAACACTTAATCCATTCTTCAGTAATGCCTTAATTATCAGTTACCTTTCTCACTGATTAGGTCACATGCTGCCAAGATAGAAATTACTGCGGCAACTGAAAGTGGTTAACAAAGTTCTGAAGTATGTACTACGTCTGCATCTTAAAAAACAAAGCAGAGGTTTTTCAGCTCCTTGGTGTAGACAGATAGTATTTAGCTGAGTACTTAGTAATATAAAATTGACACAGTGATGAGCAGTCTTCTAGTACAATATGCCCTTGATAAGCACAAATTAGGGTAGGAATGGGTACAGCAGATAGATAGCAGGACCTTTTCAGGATGGCATAGGAAAGCAATTATGTCATTTGTTCATTTAGAAAGGTGTCCCAGTTCTATGTGCCTTCAGCATTGATTACTGCAGATCCAGAAAAAAAAATATTTTTTGACACATTTGAATTAGACTTTGAAAGTGAATGTTGCTCTGGAAAATGACTGGCCAAAGATAATTGTTTGTTAAAATCTGTGAATGTTTTTGTCAGAAATTTTAAGTTAATTTCATTTTCATCAAAGCATTTTCACAGGGAGAAAAAATATTCTGAGAACCTCTTATTCCATTTATACTGTTTATTAAATGTTTGGTTTCCCTTCCACTAGTTCTAATGTTACAGTGTTCTGGAAATCACTACAAGCTAAATGCATTACTAAGGAAAATAGAAATATGTGTTCAGGCCCTAAAATGTCAGCCAAAAGCAGACTTCTTTGCATACTAATGATTTATTTTGTTAACATGTGGTTTTGGCCACTATGATTAATGAAAACAGTTCTCCTCCTTCCTGTAAGATAAATAAATCTAGTTGGAGGATGTTTAAGTATAAAAAAGCCAAATATACAGATACTTTGAAATATTAATTAAAAAAAAAAATTGTTTACAATTGCAAGTTCCAGGGTTTACAGTTTCATTTTCAGGCAGATTTAGAAAACAGTGATTAAGCTTACAGCTCCTGCTTAACTTGTAATAAGATAGAGATTTGTGGGGAAAGCTGTCTATAAAGATAGAGGATTCCTTAAGGGTTTTTTTCAGATCTTTATATACATCAACTCATTTTCTGAAGTACGGCCTCTGATAGCGCAGCCATTCTCAGTCTCCCAAGGGGATGTACTTGTGAAAACTTAGCTTTGCTTTCGAGGTCACAAGACCTTCTGTCATGAGTGTCAACAAAGCATCTGTAAGAGAAGGATTCTCTGCTTTGTTACAAAAACATGAATCAATTAAAACCTCAGCCTTCCTCCTGGATCAAACTAAAACTTTTCAGGTAAAACCCATTTGTATATATAAATCTATATATTTTTTACACACACTTCTAATAATTTTTTCGTGAGCTCTTTCTTCCTTTCTGTGCCCCAAACAAGCGGTTACCCCATGGGACTCTGCTTATTCCCTGCAGTGGCTTCCAGTCAGCTTTCAACCTTTTTTGTGACATTCTGGCAGACTTTAACAGGGTGTACAGTTCTGAGCTGCATGGCTTGGCTTTTGTGTTCAACCTTGTGTATGAGCCAGAATCACTGCTCATCAGGAGTGTTTCATGGACAACAAGTTTCAAGTAGAGCAACTAATGAATCTCTGCAAATGTTCTGGCTGTTATAAAATAAATATCAGTAAGAAGACCAGGAGAGTTAGAAGAGGGGGAAGGTTTAGGAACAGAAATAAAGATTCCAGGCATAGAGAACAGGAAAAAAAAATGTTGAAATAACAAAATGACTGATAGATAAATAAAAATCACATGCTTCAAAAGATTGATAAGTACCTGGACATTTGAAGAGTTCTTCAGTAGATATTGTTGAAAATTATGTTTTCATTACTACAGGTGGGTGGATGTATTCATCGGTGGGGCAAAATGAATCTCCCCCTTGGTTTATAGTTCTCACAATGACTCATGGGTCATCTCATGTGTATTAGATCAAATTACTGATTTCAGACTACTTAACTCTTTAAGGAAAAGTTGATTTGGTTTGCTGATGTATAGCATTTGAAAGTGATTAGATACATTTTTAAAGCATAGGTATGTCTTCCTTTATTTTGTGCACAGAACTGTACAAATGTGAAGTGTATCCTAATTTCCTGCACTGTGGGACAGCTGGAAAAAGGGAAGAGTGCAGCACTAAAAATCAGGTCCCGGCTATGGGCCCAAACGTTCCTGGAGGTAATGCACACAAAAAACTCTTTCTACACACAAAGATGCCTGCATCTTTTATTTGACCAGATAGTTAAGAACACAGATGATGGAATTAAATGGGCCAAATGCAAATCCTTTTTGTTACCCCTTTCTTTGAAAACAATGTCTCGCTGGTTCATGCTGCTTGATTTTATTTCTCACTATCACTCCCTCTCAAATTCATGTTCTGAATGTTACCTGAAGATTATTTTTAAACACCTTTCCTGTTTTGTTTCTTCTTTCCTGGACTGGCCCAAATCAGTAATCTCTTAGGTCTCCATGATGTGCTCTGCATTCATTATATCTTTCTCAATAAAAGGTTATTCTTGGAGCCAAACAGCAGATGGTGTACACGGTGTCCAGCCTAAAAATTAATTGTTATTCATTCTTTGTTAAACTAGGGAAAAGTACTATGTATCAAGCTCATATGACATACAACATTCATGTAGTGACAATCTGTGACACCACTAAAAAAAGGGGCAGTGCGGACCATGGAAAAAATGAACTTCCCTTTGCAAATTCTTGCATTTCCAACTTCATCTGCTCTCAGAATTGTATTTACACTGCATAAGGCAGAGGGGTTGCACTGTGAGCTGTTACCTCACACCTGGCCCTTACTGTAGTCTGAATTCCCCATTCTTCCTACCTGGAATGCAAGAACCTTCCTGTAAAGAGTGATTTATCCCCACAGTACCTCTTACCCTTGCAAGAAAAGAATTGAGGATCTTCAGCTTACAACAGGAGCTTTAAATTAAGCTCCTCCCACTTTTTAAATTAATTTCTCCCTTTCCTCAAATGCAAAAGTAGATAAATGAAATTCTTCCTCTCTTAACTTGCTTTCCTAGAGAAACAAGAGAGCAGATAGGACAGTATTTACAGAAAGCTGAATGCCAGCTCAATAGCTGACCATCATACTTGGAGGGTCACGGGTCTCTGCAGCAGTGGTTACTGAAAGGATGACTTGAAAGGTCTTTCTACCTATCTGTCAGGACTTAAGGTCACAATTTGGTTTTCTTGTGCAACAGCTATTAGCACCATTATGACTGAAGAGACCTTTGAAGTATCTGGCCTTTCTTGAGAGAGTGATTTAAGTCTAGCTCAGGAACAAAGGACATGCTTTAAGATACTAAGAGAATTAATTCCTGATTTGTCAGTACATTTTCTTTTGGTTAACAATCAGTCCCAAGAAACTTTCATATCCTCTCTTCAGTTCCCGTACCAGAAATACAATGCTTTTAAGAGAAGGCGTATTTAGCAAATGTGTTTGAAAGGCTAGACTGGATGTGCTTCATCTAGGCTTGCCTAGTGAGTCATCTGTTAGTGAGGAAAAAAGGGCAGGCTCTAGTTCAAACTTAAGCCCAAAAGCTTGATAGCTTGGATGCCTGTCCTTCCAAATCTGGGTAACTGGGTTGGACATCTTCTGGTGTAAGCTTTCACAAAGGTCTTACAAAATTTTGCACAGAAAATACCAGTATGTAAGCATCTCTGCCCTCATAGGAAAAATACATGTGTTGGAAAATATGATGTTAACTTCACTCCAGTTTTTTGTAATTCCAGTAAGAGACTGTTTGACCTTCCCACACTGGCTATTAACTGTTAAGTTCACTTGTGAACTTAACACTTGTGCACTTAACTGCACTAGTTCACTGTTCCTAACACACAGAGACAGGCAGAGATACTATCCTTGGCTGAAACAATCTGTAATAATTTTGACCACAGCAGTGTCCAAGCAATATCACAGTGAACCTTCCCCATCTTCTTCATCAAACAGAATCACAATGAACCTTCCCCGTCTTCTTCACCAAGCAAAAGTTAAAGCTTAGCTCCTGTAGTTACCTTACTAGGAACTGGACCAGGCACATTCTGGATCCAGTCAAGGCCTTCTGTTCATCATTCTGCTGGTGAAATCTACTTAACCCTGTAAGGGCCAAAACCAAGGTCTTGTGAAAAAAAAAAAAAACGAACAACCCACATAAATGAAACCCCTTGCACAGATCCTTATATGCCAATTTTCTAGGCTATTTACAGCTATATCAGTGGGAATTTGCCTCATAAAAGTTTTTCTAAGTCCAGTTTAGTATGTAACAAGAAATAACTGTGAGAGGTTAAAGCTAAACAAAGTTAATGAGAAACAGAGAGTGTTTCCCTGAGTTTTGGTTGTGACAGAGAATGTGTAACAGTTGGAACAAAGTAGCTACAGAAGGTATTAAACCTCCTTTTCTTGGTGTCTCTTAATAAAGACAGAATCTTTCTAGCTATAAGCTTGGTTAGCCTGACCTAGGTTCAGAAGAAGGATAACCATATGACATTCAGTGGCATGTTTAATGCAGGAGCAGTGAGATTCATCTTACCTAAAATTTGAGTCATCTGAAAGCGAGATGCCAAAACTGGTTGCCTAACTGTAGCCAGTGGCAAGAGAGAGACGTGTCTTCAGAGGATGCTTTATCCAGCTGATTTGAAACACCTTGCTCTGCCCTCCTTCTGGTCTGAATGGTGGAGAAGGGTCACAGCTGTGCCTTGGGACACAGGTATGTGCAAACACACATGGCAGTGCCAGTGCCGCAGTCCCTTTAGCTCTTCCTTACTCCTTAATAAATCCTGCTTGCTATGCCTGCACCTTCCTTCAGTCAGTGAGGTCAAGGCAGAGGTGGAATCTTTCACCAACCTGTGGGCAGGGGTGAACCATTCTGTAGGCTCCCTGGGTGCAGAGACCCATGGCAAACACTCCTACAGCTACATCTTTTGCTTACTCCACTGTCCTTACGTACCCTTGCTATCACACAAGGCTTTTTATGGGCTGTGATAACTTTTCCTTTTGCCTGTAGCCTTAGGAAGCATCTCTGTTTCCTTCAGATAGTAACTTAGAAGCCTTGTAAAAGCTCAGAAAACTGCACTTCAAGCAACAGATTGTTTCTGAGTAAAAAAGGTAGTCCCCAGAGAACTGTTGCATCCTCCCATTTATGTCTAAGAGGCTGCCAGAATAACATGACCCTTGCTTCACATGCAAACTTATTTATTGAGAAGAGGGAGAGAGCAAATAGCATGATGGGATCTGGTTGCCTTCCTCCAACTCACCTCAAAACAGTTCTCTTTCACAGACCCTTTTAAAATTAGCAGTTATACAGTCATCACCATAAAAGATTGCAGAGCATAATTACTTCCTGAAAAAGGGCATAGTCAGCTCTTAGCCTGTAAACTTCTAGTTCCTAAGATTATTCCAGCAGTAAACTGAAGTATACCTAAAAAACTGCTGCTGTTAACTAGGCTGAACTCTGCAGATTCAAACTGATGATTGAAATGCAGTCAAAATAATCAGGATGTGGTGATTCTGAACCAGGAAGGACTGTTCAAGGCCCAGACTGAACCCCACAGTCATGGATTTGTAAAAAAAAAATTAGAGGAAAAGTTGCTGTCTCTACAGCAGCATCCCAGACTTTTTTGCACAAGCAACTAATGTACAAAAATTTTCATATGCCAAAGAAAGCAGGATAATGGCAACATACAAATTCCTCAACTGTGTTATAATCTAAATGAAGATATGATGATCTGCAGAAGCAATTGTGCTCATTAAAGCTGAGAACGCACTGTCCTTACATATTTTTTTTCTCACAGATACACTAATTCAAACCTGATAAGTATTTGATTGGAAGTGATTGATTAATGCTAGGATGAAGTAATTCATGTTTCTCACCAAAGGTATATGGATCAGCTCTTATGTTTTGTTGCCACAAAAGATCAGTCATGTATTGAGTGACTCCTTCCTCTTCCACTTAGTTTAACTGACAACAGCTGACCCCTTTGCCTCTTGACAGTTGTAATCTGTCACCTTAAACCCCAAACTCCCATAACAAATAACAGTTAAATGACGTGCAATGATTAGACATGTTTGAGTAAATAAAGCAACCCAAATTTCCCAACCAGCCGTCAAGAGACAGACATTGTGCTAAGGCCAAGAAGAATCACATACTTCTTTGGATTAACTTCAAAGCCTGACTGTAAATATGAACCCTCTAGTAAAGCTGACTTTTGGATTCAGACTTGCTGATCGAGCAAATAATAGCCTGATTCATGCAAAAGAGTAACAAGGTTATGTTATGTTGTGTTCTGTTAGGGCTCCGTTTATGTCCCCATTAGTCTAATGGTACTTCTGAATCATCAGGGGGACATCTTGCCCAGTGTTCTTTGAACTCTGATGGGTACTTTTTTAATCTAAGACTCAGAGGTTGGCTTGTAAAACACCTGTTTTGAAAATGTATTTCTAAATGATGAATCTGTACCATCTGCCTGATATGCGACATCCTTCCAGGCTCAAATCTCTTAGGATGCTTACAGCACTGTGGGAAGTGGAACTTAGCTCATTCTTGACTGTTATTTCAGCCTGTATTGAAAGTTCCTCACAATGATAAAAATCTCCTTCTGGGAGATCTTGGGGAAGCAGTAATGTAAAAAAAACCCACAGAGGCTGTGCGAGGTTCCCAAGAGGTTTGAAGTTTATTTTCTTTTCTTTTAATGATATTGAATATAATTGTATTGTTTCTCTCTGGCCTTTTAGACAGATCCAGACATTTGAATTTGGCACCCCTGACTGCATGAACTTTAATAGCTAGAAGGGAGAAAAATCTAGTTTTAATCTGAGAAAGCTGAAAAGCAACAGAAACATGGCAGCCACACTGTAATTGGGGGCTCCCTTAGTATACAAAGCCATGTTTTGCCTTCTCTATTAAATACTGGTTATTTCAGTGTTTCTGAACATGCACTGCTCCTGTTGCTTTTTAGGTGCCTAAATATGGAAATGTATGCTTAACATAATAAAGGTGATGAGTGCTGTGATGCCCACATCCTAAGTGCCTGGCTCCAGACTGGAATCCAAAACCTGAAACTAAATACCCAGGCTCCCTATCCAGCATATGGAGACAATGAGGTACCTCAGGCAAATTGACTTGCACTAACCATCATGATGGTGTATGACAGCCATCCCTTATCAGGAG